GACGTTGATTATTTCAGTCTTAACGTGAAGCAAAACGGAAAACAATTCTTACCTTCCAGAACGTTCGTAACCTGTTCTTGAAAATTGTCGAACTCGAAGGGTGTGAGGAACCCTAAGGAACCGAGATGAAACGCCATCACCGGCGGTACAGATTGCTGGAACAGCAAACTGGCGTAGAGGAGGGTTCCATCGCCACCCAAACAGACGATGAAGTCGATACGATCCTTGAATGAGAATTTCAGTGAAATTTTCAGTAAACTTCCAGCGAAGAGAATTACGTTAAAATTGGGAAAAATAATTACCTGAAGATCGTCTGTTCCATCTCTGAAAGTCTGCAGCCTGTCTCGAACTCCTTGGAATCTAGGATCCCTAGCTAAGCCCGGATCCTCGAGAACAGACGCCTCTACGAACACCACCATCCGTTTCTCCTGTGTGAGAAAAATTAACAGAGACGTGAAGTTTCATGCATCGACGTGATATGATCACGGAAGAAACGAAACGTGTAAAGGGCAACACCTGCTCTTTAATCGTTCTGTAAAAAGTTGGACGTCAATTTCGTGACGTGGACAGGCTATAAAGCAAAGTCATCAATGATTAAGCATATGGTAAAAAGTTGTCGGGTCACGTGTTATGAATCGATAGACCCGGAGAACAGACCTCGAGGAAACTAGGTGGACTACGATCACGAGAATTAAAGCGTTATGTCGTTTGAGTAATTCATGCGACTACTTCCAGCATAGTTTCCACAGTTTTCAGTCCATCCGGTTCTCGGTTCGTTTACGACGACTCGGAGAACCGCTTTTTCCCGGCTTTTCGTCATAGACTTTGCAAAAGCTCCATTCGCGAGCAATGAATTATTTTAATTAGATAATTTATTCGAAATTACTTCTAACGTAATAGATTTACATCGATTAATTCTGAAAAGTTCAATTGAAGAAAAACGGTAATTATCTCGAGTAACGTCCAACGTTGAATCATACTTACTTCTATCAGCCATGTGACTAATTGGACGAAAGGCGGCAGTACAGAGGAATCGCGGACTTTCTTGATGACCAGGACGGTGAGCGGCGGTTTGTACCACGTCAACCTCTGCGAGGCTGGATCTTGTATGGTCCTGGAAGGAAACAACATGCTAATTCCGTGCGATACCAGTGTACACGCAGATTATACGGGTAAAACAGCAAAGATTACAGAAATATGTGCATCTTGTCACGAAGTATCGCTATCGAACGTGTCGTGGGACGATTAATACTGGCGAGAAGAGGCGTGCTTTATGCTCCGATTGATACGAATCTTCAGCGACCAAGGGCAAACTGAACCGTATTCTTGATGACTCCGTTAAACACAACACCCGATATTTACCGCGTATAATTTCAAATTAAAACACCGTCTGTTTAACATTAATAAAAGATACAGTCGTCGCGCTTCCGTAGGCGACCTGAACCCGTTTTCACACAAGGGGAATCGATCGAACCGGGGGGGCCTCGGTGGGAGATTATCGTTGAATTAGGGTCGCAGCGGGATCAAAGGTGCGAACGAACGCGTGTAACGCGTTCACCGTTTCTCCTCTTATCAATCCGCGAATTTATCAACGACGCGAAATTCTCAATAGGAGTAACTCGGACGAGAAAGAAGAAAAAAGAGAGAACGTGGGATATCTGAAAGTTTCGTGATTCTCAGATGGGTCAAAGTACGAGGCAGAAAACGTGGCCTGAAATTGTATAATTACACCGAGTCACGATCTCTCTTGCGTACCGTGGATCGGTGAAGTTTTAATTGGCAAAGAAAGGCGCGTGACCGATAAGTGTCCCAGCGATAGAAGGCCGATAAAAGACGGCCCGGGAGCGCTGGACGGCGGTAATTTGTCAAAAGAAACCTACCTGACAGTTCCAACCATGATGTGATACCGGATTGAGCGTCGCGCTCGCACTGAACGTGGATCGATCACGGCACTACGTTTTTTAACGGTAAACAATCGGACGACGCGCAAGCGCACCGGCGGAGAGTATGCAGGCAAAGAAACAAGCCGCACGCGGGTTTCTTTTCATGTTGCATATTATGCGAAACGAGGCGCGTAACTGTGATTCACGTGCGTTTGTTTGCTCGTGACGTGAACACCCGTCGACTTAATTAACCGCCTATCGAGCCACGATACACTTCGAACCGCACAATTTCTCTGTTTTTCTGCCTTATTTTCCCCGTTCAACGTGTTCCCGGGTAAATCTGGAGGAAGTTCCTTCTGTGTTTCACATTTTCACGCGATTCTTCAACGGTCAACATATTCGGGTTTCCTGCGAATTGGCCAGGCCTGACGAATTCCAGGAAGGAAATTTGGAAAACAGATTTCGTAACGAGTAAAGGAGAGTTTTTGCAATTGACGTTCTTTCACGCAAATTAGAATTGACGATTGTACTCGACAAAATATCCGACTCATCGTCGGTAGCTTCTCTCGAATTGCGCAACGTGGGAATCTTATCGATTCGTATTCGAGCGCGATTGTGTGCTAATGAAAATCACCGGGTGACTTTGTTTCTTTCTATTTCCTTCGCCTTCTGTTCACGTATACTCCCTAGGAATCCGCTCGTTGAATCGCGCACGTCTCTGGATCAGCCACGAATAATTAACGCGCGACCGTTGTTTAATCGCGATGAGTGAAAATTGATCAACCTTGCCGGGAGCATAGCTCGGTCGACGCGCAGCATCCTTAGATTTACTCCATCCGCGTGTGTCAGATATAGAAAACAAAGAGGTGGAAAGAAACGCGACTTCCTAGTTGAGCAACGCGGTGTATCGCGTTTAACGCGTTACACAAAGAAACGTTCTATGCATGTAGAATAGCATTTTACTTGGTCGTTACGTAACGTCATTGTCACACTGATAATAGCGTTAATAAAGATACGTTACGTGGAAAGAACGAGATCTCGAGAGATCGCACGACCTGCTTCGGCACAATGTGTTCCCGCTGTACCGAGGATTTATAGAGCCGCTTTCTAATCCAAGCTGACAAAACAACGCTTAGGCTCGCTCGAGGAGTCATTGTCACGGATAATTGGGTCAAGATAGTCGCGTGTACCCCGCGCTTTTTTTGCGTCGCTTTCGTCCAGTTAGAGATAGGAACGGAGGAGGAGTTTTGTTTTCTCCTTATTAGTTTCGAATCAATTCCGCGTGACTTTCGAAGGTAAAAATTGGCATTTTCAACGGTGAAAACGGTAGATTACTTACATGACCATCGCGGAATTCCTCATGATGCGCCCGCATGGCCCAAACTGTTGAATAGGGCTGGGTGCATTCAGACTTCTCGTTCTCCTGTGGGCGAAACAGAAAAATAAAACTGGAATGATTAGACGAAAATCGAGGGGGAAATGAATGGACAATAGACAATTCTCTGTGGTCTTTCTCTAATGGAGAACAATCGGAGAAATGCGCATACTCTTGGAAGATCTTTCAACTCTTACTACTACAATGTACTCATGCAAATGATTGTGTTCAAACATGCGAACAACCATGCGTAATTCGTGATTTATCGCCGCTACCGCAATAGATCGGTTAAGTAGTACGGCAAGAAGTGAACGAAAGAAAAGAATTAAGCATAATTTCTAGGTGATAATGAACTGGTAAGGTGACGGAAGTTGTTCCGGTACGGAACGTGATATCTTTCTTGTTTATGCTTCGGATCGATTTTACGAACACGTTAATAATCTACGGGCAATTGAAATTAACATGTAAATGATGTGTATGCATACGCGTCAGTGGGAATATGAATAATCAAGAATAACGTGTATTCTTTCGGTTTGACGTAGAGCACGTTAAGTAACAGAAAAAATGCCTATAGCTTAAGGAAAACAATTGTTTTAATAACCTCCTCTTGTCTTAATAACCGTGCAAATTTGCACAGTCCGTCGTATTTACGTTTTGTCTTCACTTTTAGCAGCCCACTGTACAATCACGTTTTTACTCTACATTGTCGCGTTTCTTTTCTTTTCTTTTTTTTTTTTTTTTGTTTGCCACTTTCTGTTTTAAGAAAACCAAGTGAACTTCGTATATTTTTCACTCTGAAGGAGGAAGAACTTCTACCTGAGCACCCTGTTTCGCTGGACGTTCTCCGTTGACGATGTGATCGTTCCGTTTCCCAGAGGATCGAGGAAAACGCAATTGTCATCGAAGCATCCGTTCGTTGGTATGTCCAGCAAAGGTGAAACTTGGTCCGTCATTTTTCAATGCTTTCTAAGAATAATCTAACTTATATATTGTTCTCCGCGTGGAAAATCGCTGGATTATATAGAAATTCTTTATCTATATGTAAACACGGGGGACAAGTGGTTTAGTACAGAGTACACGAACGATGCATCGCGCGGAACGTCGGTCGACAAGGCTCGAGTGTCTCCGCTGATGATAGCAGTTTTTCTTCGCGATACTTCCGAGGGAGGTGGAGGAAGGAGTTACGTAAAAATCCGACAATTTGTGGGCTGGAAGCGCCGAAGATTTTCGAGAACGTTGCAAAATCTCCTTCTTTTTCCTCTTTTTCTTCTCTTTTGCGGAACTGATCATTAAAATCGGTTAATATGAAATTAACGATGTCCTTCGTTCGAGCTTGGCTGCCAAGAAACTGCAAGATTCAGTCTCAAGGACGCAACTACGTTGCTTGCTCTTTCCGTTAGAATTTCAATCGTCTCTCCTAACCTGGCGTGTTCCCTTTATCGGCATTTTCGAACGAACGAATCCCGGGAGTCCTTCCGACAGATCGCGTCTTTGTGTGATCGACGAAAAATGACGACGACGACGACGACGGGACGATTTAAACAAGTATCAATTTATTAACCTTGAACTCGAAGATGAGATCGAGCAACAACGAACAGCATCGTTTATGTATTATTCTGTGTGGCGAGCCAGGCTCGCACCAATTCACATATTCCCCTCTCCCCGTTTCTCGAAACTCCGAAATATAATTCACCGCGGCACAAGTACACGAAATATTCTCACATCACTGTGTCACTGTCCCTTGGTAACGAGAAATAATCGATATTAATCACGGACGTGACGGCGGTGCTCTTAAAACAGACATGTGCCTGTTGAGAGACAGTAGAGCCTTTAGAAAGGACCGAATCGCAAGGTAGCTGCACGCAGAATGACGATCGGACCGGAGGTAGTCGACAATTATGGGATTCTTTCTACGGAACCGTCGGTACACCGTAAACTCTACGGTTCTTGTCGACACTAACCCCGAGAATTATATAACGATACCCGATTATGTCATATCGTCTTAAATATCTGTCCGATCTATTGCCCTCTTACAAGCGCCGTCAATCGTCTCTGTTGATCAGAGAAACCTTGCCTATATTCATAACTATCTAACCGACGAGGCACACAAGGAAGATAACCGACAGACGAAATTATCCAGAAAAAAAAAAAAAAGAAGAAGAAAAACGTAAAGAATTTGACAGAGCGTAGATATATCGCTTTGACGATCTTCCCGAAATCATTAGGCAACTTTTTCCTCTCGGTTTCACCCGATCCAACTATCCAACGCACGGGACTTTCTCTCGATTGATTGAGAAACACGACGAAAGAGAGGGAAACACAGCCAGTCCCTGACGAAAGAAGAGAAGACAAAAAAAAAAGAAAGAGAAGAGAAAAAAGAAGAAGAACGTAGAAAGAGAGGAAAGGGAGAGAAGTGGTGGGCCCTTTTGTTACCTCCCGGGTCACGTGGATTCCCTAATCGCTGCCTCTGGCCCAGATTCCCATGCACGAAGGTACTATACAAGCCTTGCAAAACACCACCGACCCGAGTCGATTTTCTTTCCCAACCTGTTGCCTTCCAGCTCGCTCCCTTCTCGATCTGCTAAAGGAGAAAACGATCGGAGACGTGTCCGGTTCGGTAATCGATTGCATCGAACGTGAATTTCTGAAATTCCACCGCGAGCTGTACAGCAACGGGGGCGCCATCGGGCAACAGAAGCCTACGGGAGCCCCATAGGGGCCATCGTCTCGAGCCTTGCTAAAATGGAATGCACACGGCGAAAGGTGAACGCGTTCTCGCTCTCGAAGAAAGGAGCAACAAAAAATCACTCCCACCTTTCGCGTAAGCGATTCGAACAGGTACTCAAGAGAGGCCTCGTTGCGAACCAACGTGCGACGATGTGTGTACGCGCTTAATGATCGTTCAACGTCATCTTCTCGGGGACCAGCTTTCCTACGACACAACTTCGACATAACCTAGGACAAACGTCTCATCCAGCAATTTTTCTACTCGAATACAAACGACTGAAATTCTGCCTGGATATATCACGAGTACATCCATGTAATTATCCTTATAATTCGCGAATAACTTGTTTTACAGAGAGATGGTTAATTCAAGTTCATTTTCATCGTGATTTTTCTGTGAAGAGACATCGATGGAAGAAATGATACGATGGAAAAAACGTGACATCTAAGACGTGCCTGAATTCGCGCATACACCCGATTATTTTACGTCGTGAGACACAATTAACCTCATTCTACGTAGAGGTTAGCAGCTACACTACACTTACTGGAAATTTCTGTGAACACTTTATGACTACTGTATTATATTATGTAAACGATGCACTGTTCAAACATACGCCGTCTGATAGCTACGACGCCACATGTCGCCAACACCACGGATTTAGATTAACCAACGTGTGCCGTGCCTTCGTTTCTCTTCGTCCATGTGGATGATGATGATCGTCGTTTCATTCGATGGATCGTATTGTGTTTCTTTCGATGAATGTTACACGGTGTTTCTTTCACGGATTGTCGAGGATTTTTCGTCGAATCTCGAGAGAGAGAGAGAGGGACACCCACTTGGTCACTGTGAAATTGCAAAAGTCGTCCGTGAATGCCATGTGCAGATCAATGGCTGGCGTCGCGACGCCCGGCGTACCGCACGCATGCTCAGCGCTCACGGACGACCAATCAACTACGTCGCGTGCCTCACTACGTCTATTTTCTGCTGATATTTTATTTGACCCTATTTTACGCAACTTCGTTTTGCGAAAAAACAATGCGAACGATACGAACAGTTGAGCGTGTGTTCGATCGACGCGTACCAACTGTGCAATCACTCTCCTGTACAACCAGAGAGACAAATCGTCAGTTTGCAACAGCAGGGGCGAGAGGGGGCATCGATGGTGTCCCTGAGTATAGGCAGGAATATTGAGCAAGCACAAACGACTTCGCTCAAGTTTCTCACGAATTGGAATCGGATTACGCGGTTCCAGTTTAATTACGAAATTGAACAGCCTTATACTGGTTTCGAGCGATAGCTTCGAGCCCAGCTCGCCTTACTTTTCATCTCCAATCACACAGTCCGTTTACTCGCCACTTTAACTCCATTAACGAACTCGTCTAATAATTAAAAAAAAAAAAAAAACAACATAACAATTCCTTCAATTTCTACATAGACAGGATAATTTTCAAGATATAAAATACGAAATTACGAGACAAAAATTATTCATTCCGGTACCGGGAATCGAACCCGAGCCTCCTGGGTGAGAGCCAGGTATCCTAGCCACTAGACCATACCGGAGTTGAAGACTATCTTCGCGAAATTTCATCGAATGGAACAATTTCCAACACGTTACCATCGTAATTTTCGTTTGTTAATGTAATCTGACAAAGTTCGACTGGTATTGTAAAAACGAGGAAGAAGGATTATTCGTTGCCACTTTCGAAGGGGTTGCAAAAGGCAATTACTCACGGCCAAGTACCGGAACGTTTCCGGCGACGCATTTCCGGGTCCTTGTCGTAGTCCTCGAGGAAAGGCACGTCGGTGAAGGCGTCGTCCACACCGACCAGGTTCCCCTTGTTCCTCGCCATGCATCGCCAGTCGAGCATTTCGCTCACGCTTCGACGTCTTTGCTTTTCTCTCACCATGTTCATTATCCGTGAAACATCGCTTCGAGTCACTTCAACAACCTCATGCCAATTCCTCCAATTTATTGCGCGTTTACTCCCATCGTTCTCAGTCTACTCGATGCAACAAGTGTGGGATGGTAGCTGGGACACTCTACGACGAACGTTCGACAGAGTCACGCACATGTTCTTCTACCACACTTCCAGGCATTCTTCTTCGTATCTTCTATTTCCTATGGTATTTCATGATTGATTCTTTTTGTCGGGGAGGTATGTGTGTGTGTGTGTGTGTGTAAAGGCTCGCGTGGAAACTTCCGACGATTTCGATCGAGCACGATCAAAGCGACGGATCTCTAATATTAAACAGCTGATCGTCACGTGACGCTGGAATTTACGCGCGGTAGTTTCAAACGCCCTACGACGCACCGACTTTCTTTCCTTCTAGTTTCGAAGTTGGAAGGGACTTGGGCCAGCGTTTCTCTCGCACGATCGAAGCTAGAAACGACGGGGAAAGAAGAAGGAAAAACTAGCGTTCGTTAGCTGTTCGATGGACGCGTGCGTGCGCGTAAAAGTTAATAAGTGCTGCGCAATTGACGCGTCGTGAAAAATTGAAACGACGTGTATATATATATATATATCTATACACTCGTGACAAACACGATTTACGAGAAATTTTTATTCACTACGTTTGATTTACAACGCTCGTGATTCCATCGGACTTTACCGCGAGCTTCTGACCTACTTCCTTCACTTGTTCAATTTCACTTCGGAATTATCGGTCGTTTCTCTTTCCGTTGAAAAATCTATCGAATTTTCACGAGGCTTTGTCTGCCGATGACCAATTACAATTTCAAATTTTGCCGTTATCTTCGTCTATCAAACACCTCCTCTCTCGATGAACCCCGCGGTTCCGATAAACGAATTATCACACCTGTTCGGAGCTGCGTAAAACCACTGGCGGCGGAGGTAATCGTTCGATCGCGAAATTACGCGCAACTATTTTTAAAAGAGAAAGCATACTTACAAGGCCGGGAATTCTAGTTAAAACGTATCGTCGCGGACTAAAGGAATATTTTTACGAGCCACCACCACCACGTCTACGCGTTTGGATTTTACACGGTGCTCCGTAGAATCGATTTTTATCGATCGATCGCAGCATAGAGGTTGATATAAAAGTTGTTCGAACCGAGACGGAGGAGAAGGAGAAAGAACGACACCGAGAGTACCGCGATCGACGACCGCTCCGAGTTCACTGAGCAACGACTTTACCGGCTGCAGCCTCTGAAAGGCACTTAGGGCTTTCTAACTCGCGCCTCTCCCCACCATACGTCACGTACTATCTCAGTGTTCCTGATAAAAAAAATGCCAAGGAAGCGACCAAAGGAATATATTGAATCGCGACCACCGACACATCGGTGCTCCTCGATGAAAATATCTGCAGTTACTTTTTAGAACTGAAAACGGTGCCACAGTATTCACTTGTACGTCACTCTAATACGAATTACAATATTCGTATCTATATATATATCACTGGATTTTTGGAAGAGAGAAATTCGGCGTGTGTATACTTGTTGCTTTCAGCGTTCGATTCCAGATGGTTCTTTGAACGAAAGGCAACACGTGCACTCGGGTGCTCCTCGGTGTTCCTTTGTTAGCTTTGAAAGAGACGTCTTGCCTCTATGGAGCGCCTCTACCCTGTGCAAGGCTGGGCTTCTAATCGGTGAAAGCGACAATGAAAGGCGAACGAACGATTAACTGGTTCATTTGTGAGGAGGAGACCTTAGAGTTGCGTCGTCAAGCTTGACCCATTTTTTCTTCTCCTTCTTCTTCGTCGAGTATCCAATATCTTTTCCATTTACGTCGCACTTTTTTCTTCGATAAGATTGAAGGGAAAAAATGTCCAGAAGCTCCGCTGCCGTTTCCTTTCTTGTCCCCACCCTCGAGAAACGTTACATCTTGATAAGACGAGCCCGTGGTTGGTCGACTTCCGGTCGACGACTTCGTGTCCCAATGCTGTTGAAAAGGTTCGCGTGCTGCCGCATGTTGCGACTCATCGAACGGTTTTCTAGCTGACTGGACGTGTTATGGAATAGAGATGGCTCTACTTCAGGCTTCGAAATGAAAATATTTGCCGCGAACACGAGAGGCGCCCCTCGATTGCATAATAAACAGTAATACATTCAGCGCCGAGTGTATATATAACAAGTCGGGCTCGTAAGGCATAACTGTAAACCAGTTGCGCGTAATGCAATTATGGTATGAAAGTGATCAAAATTTATTGCGGCTGCCGTCACGACGCGTTGCAAAACCGATGGGACCTGTGGCCAGACCGAAATGTCCACCGGAGAAACACGACAGGGCCGTATCATCGTCTCCGTCGTTCTCTCGCAAGTCTTAGATCAGCGTTAATTCTGCCGTAGATCAATTTAAAATCTAGTCTTCAGTTTTACCTTAAATTGTTTAACGTAAATTCTTCGCGAGAAATTAAGGGTTAATATGTCGCACCTCGCAATCTTCCGAATGATCAAACGATCGAATTTTAGCGATGAATCTTCGACTTAACCCTTCCAGAATGACGTATAGATGTGCAAGGCGCTTTATCATGAATTATTTTCGGTAATTCGTTTGGCTATTGAAAAGCGAAGTTTCTAAAAATTGAGATGGCTGTCCGATTGCGAATTATGCAACTGATCGGTGTCTCACTTTCTACGTAAAGGGTTGACAGAACTTTCTAGGGGAAGGAAGCGTGAAATGAGACACTTTCTCATGGAGGAACATAAAATGATATTGCGGTTAACAACGAGATTTCGCGTCCTTCCACTTTAGAGGAGTATTGTTCGGCGAGTATCGTTAAATTGCCACGGTGAGCAGGAAAGTGGAAAATTGTAGAAATGTAACGGGTGACGTTGGTCGAAGCGTGAACAAAAGTGTGTCGTAGGAAGGGACGAAGTGAAATGCAGCGAGCAATTCGTTCGAGTTCAATTCTCTCGACCATTGTCACCGTTCTCTCTTCAGGTCAGAATTTTTCTCTTACGCATGCAAAAGATCGTTATCCAAACACCGAAATATTTTTTACCAATGCAATCGAGCTTCGAGGCGAAAATGAAAAACGTACACACAGTGGTTTACAAACACACATGCAGGCAGAAAAACATTTGTGCAAGAACTTGTATCGTGTGCGTTTCACGTTTTGACATTTCACGTATGCAATTTTCCTTTTCTTCTTTTTCCGCGGAAAAGTTTCTTTGCATAACGTGAACTTTAGAAACGATAAATTTTCATTTGGTACAACGATCGATTGACTTGCTAATGTTCACGTAAACATAGTTTCCCCGGAGATATTTCGTTCTTACGTGCAATAACATCGATAAGTTAGCAAACACACGATGCATATTCTCGCGAAAGCGAGCTAAGGACTGCAACTAGCACTGCTGGTGTAGTGGTATCATGCAAGATTCCCATTCTTGCGACCCGGGTTCGATTCCCGGGCAGTGCAGCAATTCTTTTTTTTTCACCTCGAAAATTTATTTTCACACTGACACGACGTTCTCGTAATTTTTATTCCACCGTCGATCAATTTTTTCCCCCGAAACGACCAAATCTCCCAGACGATTTCGCTTCAACTTTTGCACACACTCTACTGATAAAACGTCGTGATTCTATAGAAATCAGAAATGAAAATTTTCGAAAAGAGCTGCAAATTACGTGACAATCTACCAGCACTTGCAGTTTCTCCTTATCGTTGGCACAATTCGGCATTGAATTATTTATCGACAAAATTTCCCCGATCGGCGTTGGCCAATTATCGAGCAACGATAACCACGTGTCGGACACAGACGACCGTCGTCGGCATACCTGATAATTTTAGCGATAATCGAGTGTCGTTTGAGCAAAACCGCCCTACCCAGGACGCTTCCACCACGTTGCATTACTATATACCAGCCACCACTATACTGAAACCGTCTCTTGACAACGTACACTTTCGATCCATCGGCAAACCATTGTCGGGGAAAGAAGGAAAAGAGAGAGAGAGAAAAAGGAATTCTCAACGATAAGAGGGGAACCTCGGCGATAACCCAGCGACATAAACCGGCGACCAGAAAAGATTGTTCGCGTGCTCGGTACCGGGCATCGTGATTCTTGATTGATCTACGATTCCCGAATTCGCTCCTCCAACTAATCTCTCTCTAACCGCGTTTTATCGTATACACCACCACTTAGCGGGCACGTGATTATATTGTCTGAAAACAACTTCGGATTAATCTCGCAACTACACGCCTGTCTCTTCTCTCGTTACCACGTTCTCGGAACCACAGTGAACTCCTTGCTACACGCATAATGGTGTTCTGTCGTGAGAACGATATAACCGATCCAACGTACAACAGGGTGGGCAGAAAATCTTCTTATCTGGGTCATATCAAGCTACCAAATAAGCTGATTATGCACACGCGAATTTATCGTATCTCTCAATTAGACGCAATTCAGAGATACCGTTGAGCACGAGATGACGATATGTAGATGTGTGTTATGTCACTTCGGCAAACACAAGGTAACATACTTATAATACGATTCGTGGCCCGAGAATCTAACAATTAGATCTACGAAACGTGAGTAGAACGTCCCGAGATATCACGTCACATCTTCCAGGAAGGGAGATACTTTTCTCGCGAGATCAAAGATCCTCTACGGTGATGATGACCCTAGCTTTAACGAAGATAAAGCGTCTAATCGCATCTACGTAAACTGACATTCCGTTTATCTTTGTCGAACGATAAACGCTTCTCACATGGTAGATTCTTCTTCTTCTTTCCTTGCTGCCCAAAGATTCCATCGGTCAGAGACACGCAACGATCCTCTAATTGTCCAGAGAAGGAAACACGCTTGTTCATTCCGCGTACGTATGGGACAACTATTACCGTTGAATCGCGACAATGACATTATGATCTTGAAATTGATCGAGGTGTACCGACAAATATAGACAGGCTCCAGACCAGAAGGACGGCTTTTCCATCTGCACGTTTTTTCGCATAATCTCGCGATCTGTTTTATTTCTGGGCATGATTAGCCGCTCGAACGTCTGATTAACGGTTGCCCGTCGATTTCGGGAGTGAAATAATCTCGGACGTTCCTTTGACTCTCGAGTTTCGTAATTTCAACGAGGAAAGAGGCTGTGTAACGCCTTTTTTCCTGCATTCGTTTCGGAACTCGTTTCGATCTTAACGTTTCTTCTAAGGCTCAAGGTTAATTTGCAACACGTTCGATCGAGAGCTTGTTCCTTTTCAACATGTATGTGTGTGTGTGTGTGTGTTTGCGTGTAGAGCCTGTCGGTTCAAAGTTTCGACAAGGGATTCTACGAATACAATTTCATGCAGAACGGTAAAATTGTGCTGCATCCAGAAGGTGCGTGTGGAGTTGTTAAAATGAAAAGGTGCGGAGGGATTCAAGCGTTACCGATGTACGACTACATAGGCGGTTGTAAGAGACGAGACAACGAAATGATACTGATGGCGCCAGTTGCAGGGTAAAGTGCGGTAGAAAAGTAGAAAACTGCGTTACCTTAACGACTCCCCTTCCTCCAAGCAATCGACCATTAACTCGCACCGCGTGTGGCTTCAATAGAAAAAGAATAAGTTAGACGTTGTTCTGGAACAGCCTGGTCACGTGGTCCTATCAATTCTTTTCCCATTTGCAAAAATTCTTTATCAGCCACCTGTCCAGGAAGTGATTCATCGAGAGAGTGCTACATTTCCTACGATTCAACGGACAAATGCACGCGATAGCGGTGTGTAAACGTTAACCTCAAACAGTATTTCCTTGACTTCGTTACCGCCAGGCCCTTTTGTTCCTTCGAATCGAACCCTCTTGGCCGTTCTCGCCTCGATTGGTTCACAGTGTAGTAAGACACATAGAAGAAGCAGGCAAGGTGCACTTCACAGCCTTGGCCTAGATCGCCCAATTCTTCTCTCGCGGTGAAGGGTTTCTATGCCTACGTAGTATAAAGAACCAAGGCTACGAATTGTATTCCCCGTGTATCTATTCCTCTAATTACGAACGAGACAACATAAGGAAGAGAAAAAGGATCGATCGTTGGAAAGAGAGTTCAGTATTCTACGCGAGAATTTGAATTGCAAATTTTCTTCTTTCGAATGTGTATGCCGGATGAGGAAAATGAACTCGGACCGATTGCTTTTCAAAGGTAATTATGCCAACGGTTACACCATCGTTGCACTTTG